TCTTCCAAGGTAGGCACCAATTGATAATCCGGGAAAGTAAAACAGTGGTGCAAGGGGTCAAAGAACTGGAACAACACTTTCACCATATCCTCTTCAATGTTGGTATTGACCAAGCTGACGAGTCTACCATGCCTTTCACTGAAGGAAGAGCTCTCAGGAATCCTGGATGTAAGCTCCTTAAGCTGAGGAGGGACCCTTACAAGGTTGATCTGAATTGTCTTTCTGTGGATAGTTTCCATGTCCTACAAAACAAGAACAAAGATGAAGATTCGAACCCTTGAAGTGGTTAGTGGATGCATATGATGCTGTATGATGCTATGATGCTATGATAAGAGCACACCACAAGTATTCACAAAAAGCAATCATGATAAGGCACACAAGTCACACCATAGCCCTTAGAGTTTAGGCCAGCATGAAGTTTGGGGTACTACCCTCTTGAAGTTGGTGGGCTCAAAAACCTGTCATATCAAAAGTAACCGGGTTCTAAGGAGCTCAATATCATTGGGTTGTTTTCTGTGTTCATTGTTTTGATTTAGCCACTGGACTGGCGATCAAAATATTCCAAGAAAACAACCCTCAATGAGTGTAGTATCGAGTATCAACCAACTTCAGACTGCACCAAAGTCAGTCATCTCACTACCCCTAAAGAGGTCAGGATGGTTCAAGTAAGGTTCCTAAGGTCAGTTGATGCTTCACGACACCACGCGGCGGCCCCGTACTCTCCTTGACTTGACTGAAGGGTTACCGGTACTCACTAAAGTGCCACATCAACGTAGCAAACTGCTTCAACCATGTCGGTATACCCCGCACAGTTCCCTCACAGTTTGTCGCTACTTTCTAAAAGCTATCCCCCAGATCCGGGTTAGGATCTATGAATCTCCCAAAACAGGCCCACAATATTAAATCAAGCAAAGCAAGCAATTGAAAACATGATGATGAACTATTCCTAAGGTACACCCCACTTATACGGTATCCCCAACAGAGTCGCCAGTTCTGTGATCGGTGGAAATAGAACTGACTGTTTTTTAGCTGGTTTCGCGAAATGTCGCGGTAAGCAAGAGTCGCCACCGTCTTTTATGTTCTCCAACATGGAAAGGACAAAAGCACAGCAAAATTCCTTCTTTGAGAATGTTTCTCGGTTCGGGAGGTAGATTTATAGAAAGGGAAGGTGTTAGCACCCTTTCTATCCGTGGTTATCCACGGGCTCTTAGGTACTTGCTCTTATGTTTTCAAAATTGTTTGCTTTTTAAATGTGTGTGGGTTTTTGAAAAAAGTTTCATTTGAAAAATTTCTAAGTAACTCTTGTATCAGTCCTCAAGAGTGTATGAAAAATTTGTTTGAAAACTTTTGAAAGTGTGGGTGCGAAAAGTTATTTTGTTTGTTTGAAAGAGCAAGTACCTATGAGATCTACCTACTATAAGGAATTAGGCTGTGTAAGAGTCCTTTAGATAGTGCTATCCCACCATTGAGGGGTAGGTAGCACCATCGTTGGAGGTGTTCGGGTCAATTCGATTAAGGGACAATGTGGTCACCAAAGCAATGGTAGGATACCTTAGTGGTAACCCTAATGTCCTAGATCCTTTTATCTGAGGCAACCGTTTCGAGGCAATTGGATCTTTAGACAAAGGGCGACCTCTAAGACACCCTATACTTGATGACCACATTCGAGGCAACCAGTGAGGCGTACCCTAGGGGTGGTATGTGCATGTGTGTTGTTTTTTAGTTAATGTTTGTCTTTGCATATTATTTGTGAGCTACGGATTGGTTTTATTTGTCATACATTCTTGCAGGCATTTTTTAACAGTTAGGAGTGCGGAAAATAAATTGCGGGAAGATAAATCTAGCTATTACAAGGCGCGGGTCTATACATCGCCAAAAACAAAAACCCGTTTTGGAAAATAAAGTGCGAGAATTTAAATAAGGCGATAAAATCCTAATTAACTATTACATACTCTGTACAGATACATACATATAATCAAAAGAAATGAAAGCGCGAAAGAAGATTGAATCGGGAACGTCCTTAGGGTGTTGACCCTTTTTTTGAGAAAGAAATGAATTTTTTGTCCCTTTTTTGCAATTAAATTAACTATTAAAAACTAATTAATTAATTAATTATTTATTTATTAAAAGAAAAAAAAAGTTTTTTTGTGTTTTTTATGTTTTTAATAAAATAAAAGAAATTTAAAAGTCAAAAGAAAAACCTTAATCTAAGCTTGATTTTATTTATTATGGAAAAAAGATTAAAATTATTCTAATTAAAACTAAGTAATTTGTTAGTGTTTTATTTACAAAAATAATTAATAGTGAATAATGAAAATATTTACATTTTTTATTTTCTGAATTTTTATTGTGAACATGTTAATTAATTGATTAATTAAATAATACTAATAATAATTACTAAAGAAAATAAAAAGAAAAGGAAAATAGAAAAAGAAATAGAAACCAATGGGGGTGTTGACCCAAGAATGGAGGTGGATCTGGAAATTTTAGGCCCAATAAGCCAAGCCTGTTGACTTCTGGAATCAAGTGTGCAGGCGTTGACTGGAGAATATGGTGTTCCTCATCTCCTGACCACTGGATTGTTGTTTGTAGACACTTGGCATACTGAAGTGTTAGGGCACATGGTGTACCACCTTTAGAAGCCTGCACAGGAATACATTGAGAAAAATGGAAACAAGTTTTTGGGTGGACCTGGGAATCGAACCCAGGTCCCAACGATTGCCAGACACGTCCCTCTCCACTGAGCCAAGTGCTGTATCTTGTTAACATAATGGGTAAAGAAAATAATATACAAAGAAATCAATTATGCTGGGAATAAAAAAAAGCGCGCATTTGTTTGAATGCTCCAACCATATGCGTCCACGTCCTTCATCTTCTTCATTTATATGCAGAAAAACAATCAAATAGCGGGGGTTTTTAACCCCCACAAACTGCAAATGCCAATAATAGCGATTAGACGTGTAGCACATATAAAAAGGGCGCGAGGGTATCAACGTGTTCGTCTCATCCTGACGAATTTAACCATAGCCATGAGAGGTTCTGATTTTGCTTATGCTGTAAAGCCCTAAATTTGAGAGCTCTGAAACCCTAGATTTCATTAATGGTGTTTTGCGTCTCAGTGCACCATAAGGCAATTAATCAATACCAAAAGCTTCAGAATGATGTTATCAATGCAAAGCAATAATCAAAACATGTTAATGATGCATAAAACTTGAGTTTCGATTATGGAAAAGAATGGTAAACCGTGTGACTGTTTGAGGTGATTCCTGGAGCTTTAAGGCTTGTTTTGGATTGCAACGCGTTCCTGAATGTCCCAGCAATGTATTGAAATCACTCTAAGGCCTTGAATTGATCTGCAATATGAAAAACAATTTTTGGTTTTTCTTTGAATTTTTGGAATTTGGATATGGTGTTTGATAGCAGCTTAGGTCGTGTCCCATGGTTTGGAATGTTTGCATATGTACATATGAATGAAATTAGGTCACATTATGAGCTTGGGATCCATTGCAATTAAGTTTTTGGATTTTGCTTTAACACCATTAAAGGACTTTCCAAACTTGGTTCAAAACCATGATTTTGTGCACAAAATAGCCTTACACGAATTTGGTAGTTGGCATATGCTGTATGAAAGCCATTCAAACCACAAAGATGCCATTTAATTAATTTTTTGATTTTATTTGAATTATTATGGATTAAAATGAATTAAATCCATAAAAATTAAATAAAAATGAAAAAATAAATGTTTGGTCTTGAAATTAATCATGGGACACGTGGGTGGCATGACAAGGCTGAATCAAGTGGAAGAAAGTGGGCCCTTTTGTCAAAAATTGAAGTTTCAAGGATAGTTGACTTTTGCCATTTCACAAAAATTTCCCAACTTCTCCAATGCATATCTTGCTCAATTTTGATCTTATGAACATGTTCTTGGACATTTTGGAAAGGTCTTGAAGTCCTATAACCAATTCCTTTGGTCCCATGTCATTTTAATATACCAATCTCAAGTTATGGTCTTTGACTTAAAGTGCATTTTTGTTGACTTTTGAAAATGACCTATAATGTTGAAATTGATAACTTTTTGTGAGAGCATTTCTTGGACTTGGAATGTGAATATGAGTTGTAGGAAATTTCCTCCCCTTCAAAATGAGCATTTGATGGGATTTTTCTGATGAACCATGAAAAAGTTATGCCTTGGTCAAGTTACAGTTGACTTTTCAATTGTCCAAAAATGGAAACTTTTGCATCTTGATAATTTTTGAGCCATTCTTGTAGAATCATGATCAAGAATTGATCAAATGATGATTGTGGCCTCAAAATAAGATGTTGACCAAAAATTTTGACTTTTGACTGCCAAATGACCATTTTACCCCTACAGTTGATTGTGGAGCAACTAGGGCTTTTGACTGTGCAACTTGACCCTGTGAGCCTTGAAACTTGGCATGTAGATGCTTGACAATGTGTATAGGCCTATGGGACTTGATTGAGCCCTTGAAAACCTCAACTTCCTTGCAAGAACCAAAACCCTAATTTGACTGGCTTAGGAGGGTGTTTGAACTGTGCAACCCTTGAGTAGACTTGAGCAAATTTAGATGATGCTTGTCAAAACTTTGAAGAATATGGGAGGACAAATTTTGGGGTACAACAGTTATCATGCATAGGTTTCGATCCTAATGTCTAACACAAAACGATCAAAATGAATATTTTAATCGTCTCATGAAAATCCTAAGGGAACATGGTATTAAGAATCAAATAATTAATCAAAATAAAAGAAAACTAAAACCTAATATTTTTGTGATTTTTATCATGCGAAGAAGTTAATCAAAATGAAAGAACTAATATTTTTTAGGATTTTTTAAATAAAGAAAATTTAAACAAAACAATTAAATAAATTAACCAACCCTTTTATATATTTATTTTTTTTATAAGTCAAAATCTCTTTTGTAAAAATACTTTTTGTAGTAGTCGTAAATTAAATGAATAAAAATAAAAAAAGAGACAAGAGAATGGGCCAAGACGACGGTGTATTAGTAGGCGCATATGGTATTGACACTAGTAGAGTCGGGTTAGATTATTGGGTTAGGCCTAATGCCTCTAAACAATAAGAATGAGGAATAACCCAAATGATAGTCAAAAACGGTCGTCCTTTAACTACCCATCTTCTCTCTCCATTAATTGAATCACTAAATCCACTTAATTATTTATTAAAACAAAATTAAAGAATGAATTCACAAATTAAAGCATAATCTCCTCTACTTTCGTTCGCATTTTCGTTCTCCTCTTCTCATCGTTTCATCTCTGCTCTCAAAATCAAACTTTCTTAAATGGAAAAACAATATAAACAGAAGCACACAACATAAACCCTCATCCCCAAATCAAAAACCCGGAGCCCCCATTTACAAGATTTGCGATTGAAGAGAAAACAAACAACATAAATAATTAAAAATCTACCAGAATCAAGGTATACTTGTTATGATCTTTTACCTTTGATTCTCCTTTGTCTCTGTTCTCAATCTCCTTTTTCCGTTTTTGGATTTGTTTGATGTGAATTGTTTTGCTTCTCTATGCAAATTGTTGGTCAGGTTGTTGGAGATGATGGCGTTGGCTGCTCAAAGGTTGATTGTTAAGAGACAGAATATTATTTTTACATATGAAGTTATGATGGTGATAAGAGAGTATTGCAGTCGGTTTTAGGTAAGGTCGGTATGAGGTAATTATGGACCGAGAGAGTATCAAGGGTCATGGTTTGTGATGAGTTAAAGATTTATGATATGGTTTTCTATTTTGCTGTGATATGGTTAGTGTAAGGGTTGAGAGTTGCGCGTTAAGGGTAAAGATATGGGAGGTTGTTTGCAGAATGTCGTGGATGATTTTGGAAGAGGGAAAGGGTTTGACGGTGATGATTCATCTAGGAGGTGAAGAATTTGTGTTAAGGTGATGAGTTTTGATTGGAATTTTTCTACTATTTTTTGTGTGTTTTGTGTGTATTCTTCTGCTGGGTTTTTTTTACCGTAATTCTCTCCCTTGTGTCTGTTTTCTTCTCTCAATATTTCTCTGCCTTTTATAGTGAATAAGGGTTTGTTTTGGGGGGAAATGGGGATGAGGTTTGAACATAATTAGTTAACTATTTTTTAGCTTTCTAATGCAGCTCTTGTTTGCCTATTTTTGATGTTATTTTTAGACTGTTTTGGATAGGTTTATGCACAGGTTTATGGTCTGGTATGGACAGTATACAGGGTTGGATTTTGGAGTCTTTTGGGCAGCAACAACAGGGTTGTTTTGTGTCTAATTTTTGCAGCCTGTAGCATGAGTTTTGGCTCAAGTTTGGACAAGAGGAATTGGTGTAGGAGTAGGGACAGGTTTGGGCAGCAACTAATGCAAAGTGTTGGACTAGTTTTTGTGATGCAGGATAGTAGTAGAGTGGGCAGCAGGTCTTGATAGGTTTTGGACATGTTTATGGCAAAGTATTGCATCTTTGCATAAAAAGAAATATTGGATATTGAAGCAAATGTGAAGCATGAAATTTATGATTAGGTTCTTTGTTAGAATAGGTTCGGAATGCTATACACTTGTGATGTAATTTTGAAACATGGTTTGGATATTTTGAATTGTAATTCCATTTGGTATCTTGTATCTTGAAAGAAAGGAAATTTTGTGATTTTTTTATCTTTAAAGACTTTTTCTCCTTGAATTGAAACTTGAATGATATTTGAATCCCGAATTTCGACTGAAATCCCTTTGGCGATGAATATGCTTGATACAAGCCGCTTTTGAAAATAACTTTGAATCAAGGGGGACTTTGTATAAATTGAATGATGATGAATGGATAAAACTTGAATCTTGGTTGAAACTTTGAATTTATGATGCACTTGAATAAGAATTGAATCTTGAATGATTATATGACTTTGAAAATTTAATGATGATGATGCCTTCTTCAAATACTCATTTTCTTCTCATCTTAGAACTTGAATTCTTAAAACCATCCTTCTCTTGAATCACATAGTCCAAGGTATACACAAACTTTCCTTTCTTATTCCTTTTAAAATAGTGTCAAAATGCCTTCTTCAAATCTTTAGAATAAAACTTTGAAATGAATGAACGTGCCTTGCAACTTGAATTGGAATCAAGCCTTGCAAATGTCTTGTGACTTGTAATTTGTTCCTTAAGTAATCAAAATCTACTTGATAAATATTCAACCCTTGACAAAATCATTGCCTTGAATAGTTTTTGAAGAAGATGGAGAGAAATATGACCAAAGTAACTTTACCATGACATCCGATGAACCTCAAATGATGAAATGCCAACAAGCACAAACTCAATGGATACGAAAAACCTAATTCCTGCCTTGGATGCTCAATAATGAAGAAGATAGCCTTGAGTATGATTTTGTAGCTTGAGGAAGGAGAAAAACATAATAACCATAGATCCTAAAACCTCAGTCTCTTGACAAACAAGTAGGGAAGTAAACCCTAATCCAAAATCTGATGAATTTGAATGAGAAATTGCCCCGTAACTTGATGAGAAAGAAGTTCATGATAGCCAAACTTCAAAAACCTAATTCCACATAGTCCACTGCCCAAGAACCAGATGAAACAGCCTTTAACTAATAAAGGAACCTCAAAACCAACATGAAACCCTAGTCTTGCACAAATACTGCTTCTTGAACCAAAGTGCTTTATTCAATGAAATGCATGATATGCAAATGAATTAGTGAAAATGATGCAAATGAAATGTGAAGCCTAAACCAGATAAAAAGTAAAAGGTAGGACAAATTTTGGGTATGACACTTTCTCTCTATATTTTCTCTCTTTTTGATATTTGTCAAAGGTAAGAAGTGTTGTACCCCAATTTTTGACCCTAAGATCCCTCTATCACATCATATCAATTTAATCACAACAAGATCACACACTAGGGTTTTGGTTCTTCTCCCAATCTTTAGCTTTGCTCTATGGGGATCACCAAGAACTTTGAGTTGTATTTTGTGATCATATATGTTTTGATTATCCTTTAACTAATGAATAAAATAAGTGTTTCCCCAATTTATGATGATTGTAGGAGAAAGCACAACACATTCCATCAAGATTGATCTATAGATTCATGAGCTCATTTCTATGTTTTCCTCAACAAAGCTTCATTGAGACTCAAGCCTCAACATTGAAGATACTTTGAAGTAATATAATGACAACGTCTATTATGATTCATCATACTTTAATTTGTCAAATATGGTTCAAAGGTACAAGGATTGATTGAAGAAGTTTGACTCAACTGGGCAATTCCTTGATTCATTGATCACAAGTGCACATCTCCTTCAATTCTCAAGATTTGAAAGTGGTTTTGGTTGCTACGGGTTATACTTACCATCCTAAACAACTCATATTCATATTAAAAAAGTATTTGTCTAAATAGGTAGGTCAAAATTGCAAAGGTTTCCCAAGGCATTTTCTTGCTCTATGAGCTAGGGTTTTGAACTTCAAAGGGGCATATCTTACTCATCTTTTGGTATTTTTGAATGATTCCAAATACATGCTTCTATTTAAAGGGTTATTAAAAAATCACTTCAAAAGTTTCAAATAAATTTTGTATGGAAGAAACTTGATGATGAAGAAAGATTACAAATCCTCCAGATGAACCCTCAAATTCCATTAGGTGATTTCAAATGATCATAACTTGGTAAATTTTTATCACTTTGAGCCCATTATTTTTTCCAAAATTATCTTAAAGATGTTAAATTCAACCCATGTTTTAAGTTCAAAGTGTGAAAATGGATGGAAGATGCCCTAAGGATGCAAAAGATTATAGGTCATTTCATGATTTTGCCAACTTCAACAAGTCATAAATTTCTCAAATTTTGGAGATTTTGAATGGTTCAAGTCTCAAAATGTCATTCAAGAGACCTACTTCATTCCATCTTTTTTAGTCAAGAGAAAATTTCAAGTGGAAGACCATGTTTGGATGCAAGAGATTATAAGTCATTTTTGAAGAAAAACTGAGTAATTTTCTAAGTATAGAAAGTCAACCTCTTTTTCTCAACTTTGACTCATTGCAACTTTCAGCTCAAGCATCAATTTGATCCATTCTTTGCACATTATAAAGCTTGTAACCTCAATTTTCTAAAGCTTCAAAAATCATGTTTTAAGACCCCTTGAGTTGAGAATGCCATTAATTTGAATTTGGTAACTTGAAACTGAAGTCTCTCAAAAAGTCAGAATTTGAAATCCTTGTTTTGGCTTCTAAACACAAAATTTATGCGCCTTTTTTCTTCTAATAACGTTTAGTGAACCTCCAGAAGTGATTATCATGATAAAACGCAAGGATTGAATGAGTTTTGATCAAATTACAAGTCACGCTTTTCTTGTTTGCAACTTCACACGATTTCCCTCTAAACTTCATCATTTCACACGTTTGAACATTCTATTCACTTCCCTATAAATAGAGGATCATCCCTCATTCATTTTCTCAAGCCTGGAAAGCCAGAATCACCCTGCCAAACTCTCTCTTGAACACAATTTTCTGTAACTTCGAATTTACTCTTACAACCTTTCTCAATCATTTTTCTTTGTCAATTCACCTTCCTTGATCCTCACTGAAGCTAATAGAAGAAGAATTAAGCTCTAAAACTCCCTGAATCATGCTAGCCAAGTCCAGTTTCAGAGCTCTTCAACTTAACTTCAATAGGTAGATTCCTTCACCAATTCTCTCAAACTTTGATACTATTGTGAAGCTTTCATCATCCTGATTCTAGTCGCAATATTTGTTTTCAACTGGAAACACGTTTGACCATGAAATTTCAAATCCCTTTTCAAAACTTCTCTTCCAAAATGAATGAGCTACAGTTTATATAATTTTTTTGGGAAGGTGTGGTTGTCTTCGTCTTGATGAGACGAAGCGAATGGTACCGGTCTCGAGCTCTAATTTTACAGTTTGAGGAACATGGTTTCGAGACTGGATGGAGATTGAAGATGACCAACGTGTCATCCTTCAACCAATGAAAGCGTGTCATTTGTAATTTTCAAAAATCTGATTTAATATTTGATTCAATGCTTTATTCAATAATGACCATGATATGCATAGCGCGTCTGATCCATTGGATTAGCTTACTAACGCGTTTTGACTCTCATCCATTGGTCCACATTTTTTTGGACTTTATTTTCCGATTTTTATATTTAAATTGTTTTAAACTTCAAAAAATCATAAAAAAATCCATTTCAACTTCAAAAAATATGAAAAAATTATGAAAAATACTTTTGATTTTTCTCTTTCAGATTTTTATTTTTTCATAATTTTATTTTGTGTTTTGATATTTTTTTATAAATTTTCACTTTATTTGAATTGCTTTAATTGTTAAAAAATACTTTTCTTCATTTTTAAATACTGGAAAAATTAGGGAAGGATCCAATGATTTTTGACAAATATTGGTGACTTCATTTATTTTTTATTTCTGACTTTACTAGTTTTCTCCATTTTTGGTTTATTTTATCTATTTCTTTTAATTTTAAAAAATAGTTTCTGACTTTAAAAAATTACCAAAAATTTCATATAAATACTTGAGCTCATTTCTGATTTTTCTAAGGTCTTGTTTACTTTTTCTTTATTATTTTGAATATAATTGTTATTTTTCCTCTTTATTTCATTTTTAAATCATTTTAAAAATCTTATTTTTCTTATTTTAAATACAATTTTTTTATATATATTCTGGTTGATCTTGGACTATGAAATTTGGATCATAAACTTTTATTAACATCATTGGATCCATGGTGTTGAGTCTAACTCCATAAAAATGGGTGAATGATTTTAATAATAGTTTGATTAAATTTTTAGTTCAAATGTGGTTTATTTCTCACCCCATTCCTCTTCATTTTATCCCATTCTTATTGTACTAAATATTATTGGAGCACGATTCCTATATCATGTCTCAAAACATATGATACATAGATTGCTATTGACCGGCCTAAAAACAGGTGCGACTTCTATATAAGCCCACTTACGATTGCTTAACATAGCACTAAATTTTGTTATGATTCGAGAAATGATCATTCGTGGCCCAAACCTATGTTTGCAAGCCAAAGCATGTTGATTTGAACCCTTTGATCCATTAACCTTGAGATTCATTGTGAGGAGGCTTTGGTTCTACCAATCATCTAATGAATCTTCATCAATTTTGCTCAAAGTGGATCACTTAAACATCATTGATCATTTAATGTTGCCTTAAGAATTCTTAAATGGATGATATACTTGACAAAAAGCAAATGCAGCTTATTGTTGAGAGGCTTTAGTTCTACCAATCCTCTAACGAGTTTCAAATGCAAGTTTCAAGATGGTCATTCAACTAACCACTAATTCCTAACAATTGACTTCATTTCATGCTTTTACTTTATACCTTTACTTTAAGCACATTTATTTTAGCATTTATATTTCATGTTATTTTCATCTTTTCTCAC